ACCAAAAACCGAAAAACAGGTGGGTTGTTTCGTGATGCGTTTAATCTACGCAAAAACGTTAAGCGCACCTCAGCAACTAAGATGTAACGTTGTTGCGTTCAAGTACAACAACAACAATGTAAACTTTAGTCGATGTTAAGTTGATAAACTCTGTAAGACACTCCGAATGTTCGCTTCCATTTAGCTTCAGTCAAAATCGCCTAATAAAATTGCTAACAAGACAAAACCAATTGCATTAAGCAAATGTTGTGTGATGAAGATGTATTACGAACATCGAGTGTGCGATTTATATTCTTGGATATGGTTCATTCTTTTCATCTCCTGCTCACACAGACGTATTACAATAAGTTATATAAGCTGTATTAGCTGAGGGTCCGACCAATCAAGGTGATCAATATAAGGTGAATTTACTTAAATACAATGCAGTAATACTGCAGAATGATTGCCATATTATTTTCGAACATTCTCTAACTTACATCTGCATTCACCATAACGATTTCAATTTACGAAATCGTTTTCGGTCTAATATATGCGCTTTTTTTTGGATATCATAATTATGTGACAAAATTGAACTGTTTTTTCAGAAACAAATAGCAAAAGGTCAAAAACGTGGTAAATTTGAATATCCAACAATGGATGATGTGGTGAGTGATTGGAATACTGACGAGACACGGGATAAACCGGATAAACCGGCATCCTATGAAGGGACACTCTTGGAGGAACCTACATAAGAATGGAATGCATTTTTCAAATAGTTGAATAAATGACTATTAATATTGTTCGTTTGATAAAAAATATTATTTCGCTTCGTCGTTTCGCAATCGCTTCATGAGTAATTCTAGTGTGAAGCATTGTGGCTGTTGTTCGCTTCATTATCTCATGCATTCTTCATTCACTCAATATCTCCAAACAACTTCCATCACACATTATTTCAACAATCGAAATTTGTGCTTTCTTCACAGCAGCTCATTCGTATTCCAACACCGCATGCATATTTTATCGTCGTTCAATAATTTCCTTAATATTATGATCGAAGTGACATCGGTTATTCAGTATGTTCATAACACTGAATATGAATGAACGTATCGTATCGTTACCATACTTACTCTTCTATTCTGAAATTTCATGCGCTCTCAAGGTCACCAAAAACGTTCGGCTGAAGTGTCGAGTAGAGACATGATTAAAAGATGTTAAACGCAAGAAGATTTGCAATGATCCGATGCAGAAGTTTGTTAACGGTTGTGACAGTGTGTTGATT